TACAACCACTAAAAGATATCCTTCTTTGCCAGCTTTCTATATGGTTGTGCTTCGTTTATATGTTTTCAAGCATATGTAACCACATGTTCAATGCTGTCGATGTGGTCAAACGAATCAACTATTCAAGGTCAATATTAGGACTGGACATTTTATCTATTAAATTTGATTCGATTCGTTATTCGTTTCGATTCAAAAATTTCGGATATCCGTAAACTTTCAAATCAAAGCAAATACTAAAAAGCAATATCCGTTAAAATCGAAGCAAATCACAAATATTAAAATTTTGGGAAGTGGATATCCGATCCGATTCAGAAATATATAAATATATGTATATCTTGATTATATTTAAAAATTTAAATGTATAAAATTATATAATTATTATTCTAGCACATGATTTTGAACAATTCTATTCATATTATTACTTATATAAAAGTATTACATAAAAAAGAGAAAAAAATTATGACAATTATATTTTTTTTCTTAAATTTTGTGTTATTATAATTGTAATTTCAACTTAAAAATTACAAAATATGTAAATTCACTAGTTCTTTTAATTTTTATTTTATATATCATGCAAAAAATATTTTTGCAAAACAAATTTGTATCAAAATTTTAAGATTATTTGTATAAATAAAAATGGATGAGATATCCGTAAATATTCATAAACATCCGCAAAGATCTATTTATTTTCCGGATATTCGCTTTTCCGGATATCCATATTTTTTCGAAGCAAAGCAAATACTAAAATTAGATATTCATAACATATAAAGTAAATCACAAATATATTGAAAATCCGGGATATTCGATTCGTACCCATCCCTAGTCAGTACGTATCATGTTACAGTTGTCTTTTCCTTGATTTTTGAGAAGAAATAACAACCAAACAAACGGTGTGCATAGCTTGGCGATTGAATGGGACTGAGTGGAAAGATTCATTAGCATTTAGATTTTATCTATTTGGTCAAAATTATATCATTTAAAATTAGGCCTCTCGATGTTCTCGCACGGCCATGCAAGGAGTGAGATTAGCCGCCCCAATTTAAAAAAAGGAAAACATTAGCACTAGAATAAATGGTGTGTAATGGATTCCGCTATACCACTAGAGAAAGAAAAGTAGTGTATAACTATTTGTTTTTTTAAACAAAAAAAAAACTATTTGTTTTAGATAAATCGAATATGTAGAACAAATCATTAGGATAAAACCATAATTAAGAATAGTATAAGAGAATAATGTTGTGTAAAGGATTCCGCTACACCACTAGGAAATTTTTCTAATAGTAGTTATGTAACTAGGGTCTCTTTCCATTCACTAATTCCTAGTAGCTTTTGAACATCATATATTCCTAATCCTTTTTAAGTTTTTTCCTTTTGCTATTTCAACCATTTGTGTTTATATTTACTATATAGAAAGACTTATTCTTGGGTTCACCATTGAATAATAGCTTAATAGTCAATTAAAATTTGCCAACTCATATTCTAGTTATGGAAAAAAATAAATAATAATCATAAATACTGTTAATTACAAAAAAATATTAATGTTGTTAACGTTGTTAGTAAAACCCTAAACCTTAAATCCTAAACACTATATTCTAAACGCCATCAGCAAAATTATAAACCCTAAGCTTTAGTATTTACCCAATAGTTCAAGATTTCTCTTCCATATATCTTAGGATTTAGGGTTTAGTGATTATAATTTAGTTTTTATGACTTAGGGTTTAGGGTTTTGTTGACGGCATTAACAATGTTTAATTTTATTTTTTTACAGTTACAATTATTTTTATTTATTTTTCTATTTTAATTTAATATGACTTGATAAATTTTTATTGGTTATTAAGTTAGTAGTGAAATTAGATTTGCTAACTCATAGTCTATTTATGAAAAAAAAAAATCATAAATATCATTGATTACAAAAAAAGAATGTTGTTAACGTCGCTCTGAAACCTTAAATTTTAAACCCTAAATCTTAAATACCATCAGCAAAATCATAAAGTCTAGGGTTTAGGATTTACCCAAATGTTCAAAATTTATTCAAGAACTTAGAGTTTATCCAATAATTTAGAATTTAGTGATTATTATCTTAGATTTAGTTTTTTTTTTTTTTTTTATGATTTAGGGTTTAGGATCAGCAAAACCATAATTTATCCTAGGATTTAGTATATACCCAAGAATTTAAAATTTACCCAAGAATTTAGGATTTACCCAAGGTTAAAAATTCTAAGGATTTAGGGTTTTGTGATTAGTATTTAGTGTTAGTTTTTATTATTTAGGGTTTATGGTTTCATTGATGGCATTAACAACATTTATTTTATTTTATTTTTTTCAATTACGATCATTTTTATATGTTTTTATCTTTTTCTTTAATATGATTTGACAGTGTTTTGTTGATTATTAAGTTAATGGTAAATTTAGAGAAGGTGAATCTAAGAATAACTCTTATATAAATAGGCAACTTTTTCTCATTGTCTACCTCATCGACAAAAAGACATTAACTAATAGAGAAAATTGTTATAGTATGTCAGAGAAAAACACGTATATTATATTATTAGGCTATTCCAAATTTATACATTTTTTTGTCGACCAAAATAAAAAGTTATAATAACAAAAATAATTAATTAGGAACAATTGAAGAAATACTCATACCAATGTTCTTATATTTTTTGTATTTTAAAACTTATTAAATAAAAATTTCATATTTTGTTCAACTAATTGTAGATTTTAAGTTCTATGAAAATTGGATTGGTGAAAATCGAGCGTTTTGTTCACGAATCTACTTTGCTTAGAATAAGTAATCAACTTAAACAAAAGTTATCTAAATATAATTGAAATCCATACTTTATGTTTAAGTTATAGCTCTAAAATTTGCAGAAATAACAATCTACAATATTCTCGGAAATCTAATATGTGTACAAATACAGTTCAAACATGTTGATTGTTTTTTTTTACATATAGTAGATTGCAGGTTCTATGAATAACTATGAACAATTCTGAATAATGAAAGTGCAGTTATAAAAATATTTGGACATATTCAGTTTTTATATTTGAAAAGAAAAATCAAAATTTTGAACAAAAAAAATCAACAATTAGTATATGGCTTGTTTTGTTTTTTTTTTTTTTGTAGAAACAAGTCTTTGAAAATTAGAGCTTGTTTTTTCTGGGGATTTCTGATTTTTTTCATTTAATTTTAATTAGTTTAATTACTAAATTCTATTTTTATATTTCACAATTAGTTCCTTAATTATATATTCAAGGGAACAGTTGGGATTTCGGAAATTATAATCTAATAGAATAATTAAAGGTTAGATAGTTTAATGGGATAATGTTGATTTTTTTTTTACCCAAGAACAAATAATTTTCCTAACTAATACTGATAATTCATTTAGTACATACATATTTATACAAAAAATTATATTAAAATAATTTACAAATTGTATCAATATCAACAATAAAAAATTTATATAATTTTCTCTAATATTTACCAAATTTACTACTTAAAATAACTATAGTTACTTGTAAAGGTGTTCAAATGTAAATTAACTATAATATTAATATATACAAATATATTGTTATACAAAATTTCAAACATATACTGCTTATTTATATAAATTTGTTTATAGTAAGTTAAATTAGATAACGGAACTAAAGCATCTGGTTTAGGTATTTCTTTTAAACGACACGTACGGCTTGGTTGGTTGAAGCACATCAGGCGTAGTTACAATTGCAAAAGTTTATTGTATGTGATTGCGCTTTGTAGGGTTGTTAAGTGTTTTGTACAATTGGTAAAGTGGTTAAAATTGGTGTATTTGTGGGATGTTTATAATTGATTGATTATGAGATACACAACGATTTAATAATAAATTGCTAATATTAACATATTATAACGTTCTAAAAATATCAAAAACATAATATGATGATAAAATATAATCATTATTAATATAATATATTAATAACAATGATACAATTATTTATTTTTAAAATTTACATGAAATTTATGATTTCAATAAAAGTGCTTTTGAATATTTATATTATAATTTTCCAAAGAAAATTTTGCTTTTCTATATTTGTATGTATATTTATATATGTTTATATAGTGAATATTATTGGTTTAAATTTCTTACAATATAAAGTATGATATTATTAATGAATTTAAACTAAAATATATATATATACATATATATAGACATATTTACATATTTCAAAATTTAAAATATCTTCAAAAATATTGTTATATTTATTTATCCAACCGCGTGCAACTGCAAATGATAATAGAGACCAATTTATGATTTTAACGGGATCAGAATGGTTTGGAGTGATTTATTGCATATTATGTGAATGTTACAAAATGCTAATAATCGCTATCAATCGAAAAATTCTTTTTCCGGGTGCTTGCGGAGAAATCAGTCAGATCCTTAGTTTAAGTATTTTAAACTAAGCTTACGTTGGAAAACGACTGGTGTACGATAATACACAATATTTATTGTCATAAGTTCTTAAAAGAAATCAAATACTCTCTCTATTTCATAATATATAATGTTGTGGCTTGGTGTACAAAGATTATGAAATTTATATTTTCTAAAAAATAATTTAAAAGATATAATTTTATAATCATTCAATCAATTATATGAAAGATTGTAAAATATTATTGGTTGAGCAGTTTCTAATAAACTTATAATTAACTTTAAAATTTCAAAACATATCTTAAAACTTATAAACATTTTATATTTTGAAACAACATAAACCTCTTAAAACATCATATAATTTGAAACGGATGGAGTATCATATTGTATTACTAATTTACTGTAGCTTAAATTGTTTCCGGTGATAAAAGTATTCTTCAAATATTCGTTTTCAAAAAAAAAAAATGCTTCCAACTCAGCATATGTGATCTATATAAATATCCACCTGGTCTCTACTACTGAATGAAGTTAATAAAGAAGAGATAGATATATAGTGACGTAGGGAGAAAATAAGAGTGGGAGAGTGAGAGAAGTAGACGTTATTTCATGGGTTGTATCGATGGAAAATGGGCACCGGTGATAGTGATTATCGTGGTTAACATGATTAATGGGTTGGTTAACGCTTTGACAAAGAAAGTTCTCGATCAAGGCATTAATCATATGATTATTGCTACCTATCGTTTGGGAATTTCCACATTTTTTCTTCTTCCGATCGCTTATTTTTGGGAAAGGTAAATCAAATGTTTAAATTTTAATAGTTAACTAGATTCCCTTTTAAAGGAAAGGTATATTTTTGTTTTAATTTTTTTTTTGAAAATTTTAATTGTTATATTTGTGTTTAATATTTATTTAAATTTATTTAATTTTGGTAACTATATTAAATATGCCAAGTTGCATAAATATATACTTGTGTCATATGCCTTTCAAAAATTATTTTAAACTTTTTTTTGGTAAAATGTTAAATTATTATACCAATTTTTCAAAAATTATTTTTAAACTTTATTCCTAAAGTTTACAATATATTATATTTTCTTAGTAGTTATTTAACATAATTAGTCAAGATATTCATACTCAAAAACTTGACTTGGAATCGACCCAAAAATTAAAAGCTTATATTCTATTAGACTTGACCTATATACTCGAATGGTTCTAATGTTACATCCGAAAACCAATATTAAATCTATCACGTAACGAAAACCAAACAATGTTTTTGAAAAATGTTCGAAAGAATAATTTATATGTTTGTGATTATATTTATTCAAATTTTAATTTAGAATTTTTGATAATTAATTGAATTTGTGATGTTGGATAAACATATACTTGTGTCATAACTATTTTACACATTAATTTTGTACTTTAATCATAAACAGTGATATATATATATATGTATATTTAAATAATAAAGTATAATTACAATTTTGTTTGATAATCAATACTTTTAATCTCTTTTTATTAAAATTAAGTTAGCCTATCAACCTTTACAAAGTAAGCTTTATTTGTGAATTTGTTTTAATTATTGTTCTGAAGTTCATGAAAAACTACTTATCTTTGTAGTCCTTAAATACATTATAGGCAATATAGGTCTTTAGTGGTCCGTAAAAATAGGAATGTAGTGCTATGAAATTGTTAATATAGATGCATATTATTTAAACATATATATTAGCAGTTATATGCAGATGCATATTATATTTAGTTGGACTGAACTAATATTAATTGGGCATATTCCTAATTTAATAGTATTGATATTCTTCTTTATTTTCAGTTTCTATAATTTTTAACTGCTTAAGAAAAAATATATTTTCATTATCTATTTCCTTATATTTTACAGTTTATATTGCTTTAAAATTAAAGAAAACTTGATGGGATGAGGTAATTCGTTTGGTAAGGACCCTGTGAGCCAATTGTCATACTCACGGGCCCGATGCTAAGCAGAGGGAAACTGCCGATTATTGTCATTAAGTGCGGTATTAGGCCTTGTCCCCAGCCTAGGTACAGCTCTTCCAGGTGAAATGGCCGCTACCTGATCGGGCCCAGGGGAATGATTCACGTAAGTGGAGAACCCCTGGATTATCAAAAAAAAAAAAAAAAATTAAAGAAAACTTCACGCAATGTTTTTTTTCAAATTGAATTACTATGTTGTGAGAAGTTGTATTTATAAATAAAAAATAAAGTTTGATGCTAGCCTTTTAATTGACATTTTAATGATGTTTTATAGTATACAGAACTATAGATAAAAGTCATAAAATCAGAATTTTGTGTTTCGGACCACATAAATACTCCATTTCATGATTTGATCAGGAAAACAAGGACGAAGCTAACCACAAGCGTATCGTGTCAGCTTTTCGTATGTGGCCTTTTTGGGTAAGTTTTGGTTTTATAGTTTTCTTAAGTATTTCCAAATCCAATGTATAATTATTATTATTTTTTCTTTCAAGTGAAGTAGCTTTGTAATTGAGTTGAATTTACTTTAACCATTTAGAGTAAAACATAGAACAATGAACAAAAAAACTTCATTTGTGGAAAAGAATAAAAATAAAGAAGGGTTTGAGTATATTTTTACTATAAACTTAATTTTAGAGTAAATTAGGGAGTGCAGTTCAAAATGACCTTAACTCATAATTCTTATAATGCAGTTCCACTTTTATTGTTAGACTCATTTTTATCTTTTATTGCACTTTTATTTTGGCAGGGCTAGTTTGATGCAATATTTCTACTTGCTTGGACTTAGCTACACTTCTGCCACCATAGGATCTGCTTTCTGGGGCACATTGCCTGCTTTAACTTTCATTCTGGCTCTAATATTCGGGTACACTTAGTACTAAACATTATTATCATTTCAAATTATACACTAAATACACCTTTAAAAGTGTTCATAAATGTTATCATTCCAAGTCTATAAATGCATATTTTCAAAGGGTACCTAACTAATACAAAAATGAAAGAACATAAAAACGATATAGAAAATGTGAGAAAAGTATCTCAAATGAGGCATTCAATTTTTATTTAGAAACTCATTGAAGAAATATCAGTAACACAAACAAAGTCTTATTGAAGCATCGTGATTGCAACTGCAAGAACGCAATTTTGATATTTTAATATTATTAAATAAATAAGATTCATCACAAAAAAATGTTGAAATCTAAAAGCAAAAAAGAATATTTTATTTAAAAGCTATGAAAATGAGAAAAATTTAAAATATAAATAAAATAGTACTAATAAAATCGGAATATTAATCTACATATAACAAGCAAATAGCTTAACTATATATAATAACCTTTATATTATATAATTTACATATCATAATACTGTTACATTTTAATCAATCATTTTTTATTGTCTAAAACGGAAAACATATCTATATACTACAATTTTTAAATAATAACATTCAAATTGTATGATATAACCAAATTTTGCGAAATATTTAGAAGACATAAAGATCTTTAAATAACTTTATTCACTCACAAATCATTCATATTCTTCGAATGATGAATACCAAAGTGGACAGTCTGACACTAGTGTTTGAAAATAATTGTCTTTCGTTGATGATCAAAAAACAACAACTTTAAAAGATTTTTTTGGGTTTGGATGGGATCGGCTTGGTTTGGTTTTACCGGATTGACCACTTCTATTTGTCTGACCAATAATAATGCTATAATAACACATGTTGATGTTGATTTTTTATTTTAGATTCGAAAAGCTAAATATGAAAACAAAAGCCGGATACGGTGTCGTTCTTGGAGCTATGATAAGCTTAGCTGGAGCTTTAATTCTTACGTTGTACCAAGGCATTTCATTGTCGAACTCTCAAGAACACGCAACGGTTTCTGACATCCGAAAAGGACATGAGAATTGGATCAAAGGCTGCTTTCTTTTATCCTTAGGAGTTACATTTTTCAGTTCATGGATGTTTATACAAGCCAAAGTTAACGTGAACTACCCATTTCCATACTCGGGTACGGTTATTTTATCGGTCTTTGGGACGCTTCAGTGTGCTCTTCTTAGCTTGATCAAGACTAGACATGTGGAAGATTGGATCCTTAGAGACAAATTCACCATAATCACCGTCGTTATAGGGGTATATATTTACATATATTATATAAATTTACGACAGTGAAAATTATCTATTTTGTGTATGTTTATAGGGTGTAGGTGCACAAGGAATGTCTACGGTGGGAATATCATGGTGTATCAAACAACGTGGACCTGTATTTACATCAGCATTTAGTCCTGTCACACTTATTTTCGCAATCGTGTTCGATTTCTTGATACTTCATCGTATGATCTATATGGGAAGGTAAAATAAAACCTTGCAAATTCCATAAACATTGTTGCTAAGTTATTATTATATTTTTTTATAAATTTCTATATGGGAAGGTAAAATAAAACCTTGCAAATTCCATAAACATTATTTGCTAAGTTTTTTTTTATTTTTTTATATAGATTTGCTTATGTGCTATCACTACATTCATTCTAAAAACAAATTACATGGTCGACAGAAAAATAAGACATGACTTCAATTATATTATGACATGAATATTTTAATGATATAGATTTTTATTTTTGATAAAATTCCTGATATAAGATAATGGCTAAAATTTGGCTTAGTACTCACCTTTTGTAGGATTTCTAATATATAGCTAATTTTGGTTACATACAAATTTAATTAGATACATGATTATTGTTAGAATACTAAAACTAATGTAACCGAAATAAAATAAATCCATTTAACTTGGGATAAAAGCTAACAAATTTTGTATCAAACATGAAATAATACCTAAACACTATTTGTAAAGTGATTTCTTACTATTTACTTTCATACCATCACCACATTCGTTCTAAAAAAAGATGTCATGACTTACAAAAGATCATATGACAAGGTTTCAGCTATATTAAGACATTAAATTTTTACTGCTAGATTTTTTTTCTGGTAAGTTTCCAAAATAAGATAATGGTAATTTAGATTAATCATATAAATTAATTGCTTTTGGTAAGATTTCTAAAATATGATTAGTTGCATATCAAAATTTTAAATTAAATACATAATTATTATTAAAATGCTAAAAATAATATAAGTATAAGATTTTTTTTCATTTAACTTAGAATAAAAAGTAACTAGTTCGTATCAAACATAAAATAATATAAATTTATTTAAAATTGAAACTTAAATAAAGTTAAGATTAATAAAATATACATTTGTCCATAAATCGACATAGATAGAAGAGCAATCGAGATCCTACTCTTTTAAACAATACTCCCTCTATTTTTTTGTATGATATTTTACCTTAATGCATAAACATTAAGAAAATATATCTTCCTCTAAAAGTATTTTTAAAGATATATTTTTAAAATTGTTCAATTAATTATAAAAATATTGTAAAATTTTATTTGTTGAACAGTTTTAATAAATTTAAAATTAACTTCAAAATTTCAAAACATCATATATTTTAAACAATATAAATCTTTTTAAATATTATATAATTTGAAACTGAGGGAGTACAGTATAACACTTGTCTATGTGATGTCATCACATTCATTATCATGAGTAAAATGTCATGGTTTTTTTTCTTGTCATCAAAATGTCATGGTTTAGTATATTAAAGAATCCATTTTAACAAAAATAAATCTTAACAAATTTTATAGAAATATATATATTTTGTCAAAATTATTTGCTAGTTTATTACTTTAACACAAATTAAGATAAAATTTAAATTTTTTTATATTTTAATCTTCTAAAACGTTAAATTCACCAGTTAACAGAATAACCTAGTTCTAATTAGATATACGTATATTCAAATTTTTTTTCAAAAAAAGCTATTTAATTTTAAAATTTTAGTGTTGCGCGTATGAAATCACTTAGTTCAATACAATTTATATATTACTAACCCAAAATTATATTGTCACTGTTGCAGTGTTATTGGAGCGGTGGTAGTTGTGATTGGTTTATACATATTTTTATGGAGTAAGAGCAAACAAATTGATATTTGTAAAATCATTAAATCACCTACGAGTACGGTGAAAGAAGGAGACGAAGAGAACGGCCATACAAATATTAACAATTAGGTAGTCTTTTGAAGTTACAAAATAATACTAAAAAAATAAGGTAGTCTTTTGGTTATCTTAATGACTCCATCTACTTCCCTAAACCCTCTTTTCCATCCATAAAGATCGATATGACCTACGAATCAACTATGAAGAAGAGACGAAAGTGGTCATTTGATTGTTATTGGAGTATATTATAACGTGTGTTGCAATGTTTAACCTTTTGGATTTTGCTTTCCAGAGAATAATCTGTATATTGTAATTTGTTTATAAAATAAACCGTATTTCCTGGCCTCAATTTCTGATTAGCATATTTAGTTTATATGAATCGCTATTGGACATGCAGGCGGATTACAGGTTGTTGTTAAAGGGAATTATGCATAATCGACTGAACGGTTATTTCGTTTTTATCCTTTAGATTATTTTATTTATGTAAAGACAAAAATAAATTGATCTTCCAGTAAATTAAATATAATTCCTTCTATCAACAGCCAAATAAATGGGCACCAATGTTGCTTGTGATTGAATCCTCTCAGCAAAACAATCTACACAACCATCTGAATCTAAAAGCATTAAGTGACTGTAAGATTAATAAAAGAACTCTAGGATTAAACTAAGAACAAATTAAACTCTAGTATGAATTTATCCTTGTGGAATATCACAACACTGATGATTTGTGTACTAAAACTACAAGGAATTTGAATCAATAAGTTAGAGATGAACAGAAGATAAAAAGGAGTTTTAAACTGATTTAGAGGAGAAATGGTAAGCAATGATCTGTCCTTAGACAGATCCAAAACGTGTGGCACCTACTCTCTACATTAGGCCTGGGAGTTTTTACCCCAACCCGAAGTACCGACCTAAACCTGAAGCCGGATCCAAACCATTATACAAAACTAACCGAAGGGGACTTATGAGCCTAGTACTTCAGACTTTTGATATAACCCGAACCGAACCCAAATTCGAAGTAGGATCCGAAGGTATCCGAAATTAGTTAAATATGTTAATATTTTTATATATGTTAAGGTAATTTAGATAGTTTATAATATTCTAAATATTTTCATAGTCTATGTTATATGTTATTTTGAATATATCTTAGCTAATTTAGCTAGTTTAACTAATTTTTAATTATACTTGTGAATAATTTACATCTTTTGAATACTATTTTGTCAAATTTTTAGGTTTAAAAAAAATATTTTTGGATGATTTCAGATATTGGTTATAATTCGATCCGAACCGTACCCGAAAGGAACCGAACCGTACCCGGAAGGAACGGAACCGAACCCGGAAGGAACCGAACCGAACCCGATCCGATTATTAGCAAAAACCGAATGGTACTTATGAGCACAGTACCGAAAACCCGAATCAACCGAACCGAAACCTATTGGACCACCGAACGCCCATGCCTACTCTACATTGTGAATGATTTGCAATGCACTTAGTAAAGGAGAGGGAGACACACAAAATTTATGAAGCTTATTTCTTATTTCTTATGTTCTGATTACAAAGAGGAGCCTCTCTTTTTATAGAGAAATTGCTTAGGTTTACAACCACAGCAATAAGACAAATGAGAGATTAAACTAATAATATCCTAGATAATGAATAAACAAGTCTTGAGGAAGCTGCCAAGGAGGAAGAAGACAAGAGAGTTTCTGTAGCAAGGAAGATATAGTGACAGCTCCCAACAACTCTCTTTCTCTTAAGAGAACATGTGACTTTTATTTTATTTAAATCCCCACTTCTCTAGCCTCTCTCTCCAGCAGTCACTTGTCTTATTTGAATTTAAATCTGCCTCTGAAGTTAGCTGGACGAAATTGAACTTGCCTTGCCTTCCAAGACCCTCTAGCTCAAGCTTGGTTGCTTGGAAGTCAAAACTGTACAGAAAAACTCCAACTTCAAGTATCTGAACTCTTCTCTTCTTCTTCAGTTTGGTGTGGAGATGCTTGGCCTTCACTTCCTTTGTTTGGCCTTCACATCTCCTTGTCTTGCTTCACACTAATACCCTCCCTCAAGGTTGGGCTGCGGAAGCCATTGGTTCCAAAGGCCAAGCTTGCAACACGCAAATGACTACCTCATTAAAAACCTCACCACGTAAAACCCCTTGGGATAAAACCATGATGAGGGAAAAAAGAGTATAGCCTTTGCGTGTGCATTGGGATAACTATGAACTTAGATTGATTTGAGCTTTGAAATTTCTTTGCTCTATGATTCTCTTTGCGGTTTGGACTTGTCTTTAGAACCGCCAAAGGTGATTCATGGTTTGAGCCATGATTTGAAATGATTGTTGAGTGTGTGACACCATGGGAACCGTGTGTGACACCGCTTCTCTTGACTTAAAAACAGAATGATACTAGACTCCATGCTTGTGAGCTGTGCCTTCTTGATGCTTAAAGACCTTTTAGCTAACATCTTGCTGGTGAGCTGATTCATCACTTTCATACAGT